TGAAGATGCCGGCCACAGAGACTGGCGAAACGTTAGGAAGAACCACCTTTAGAACACAGCCAAGAAGCCCGAAAAACCCAAAACAGCCATTAGATCCCAGCCGTGAAAGCCTTCGCGAATACATAGAACTTACTATTCTTTTTAGTCTTTTCTTTCTAGGGAAGCTGTCCTAATTCTTTGATTATTTGACTACATTTCTAGTCACTTCACCTCTAGAATACTAGTTAGAAGTTGTATATAAATATATACTGTACATGATAGATTTATATGTGTCCCTTGTAATCTGAGCATTGGCCTTTTCAAGTATGAAATAGGCATGTTGTTCATGTTACCAGTTTTTCCTTTAAGAGATTCTGGTCAGAATTTCACTGGTATTCATATACAAAACATATACTGTATGATAACGTGCCGTGGCACATGTCATGGCTGATTGTGATTAATTGATGATGTGCTGAAGTGCATCCCAGTTGTGCCATCAAGTACATAGCCTGTATACAACTAAGATACACTGAGGCATCTTGTTAATTAGGCACAGTTGACCATGGTAATTTACACAAACCTTATGCAAACACCAATGGGATTCTGAACACTTTGAAAAAAATTAGTTGGAATACAGTACTTGTATTTGTACATATTACAGCAGTATGAAGAATGAAGTGTCTCTCACAAGAGAGAAATAAAAATGAATTATGTCTGTAATGCTTGTTTCGAGACGAGAAATAAAGGCCATGTTGAACCAAAGGCATTTTTGAAGTCAGGAACATTTCAGGAGTAGCATGTTTAAAATAACACAAAACTGTTGGCTGTTTTTAATTTGAAGTGAAAATATTGTGAAACTTGTAAAAATGTGAAAATTAAAGCTGAATTGCACTTATACATAAAATTGGGATCAGCAGGAAATTGTTGCAGTGTAGATTTCTTCTGTTGAGAGTTCCAGGAAGCCAGTGCCCTTCACCAGCGCTCTCTGTTCTCATCTTCCCTCCTTTCTCAGTTTTTCATTCTCTCCTCCATCTGTCAGACAGTGTTCCATTGCCATCTAGCATGTTCTGCCTTGATTGGGCTATTTTGGGTGTCCCTCCCATTAGTATTCCCTCCATGATCGTTTATACTACTTTGGAACCCTTGGTGTTCTCTCAAGCTGTTAAAATCTACGATTACAGAAGGAATTCATTGTTGCTGTATCTCACAACATGAATAGATCAAGCTATTAATCTCTTGAAATTTTAGATAGGAAAACAACCCCTGGGTGGAATTTAAGATGGCTAAACTCCTTTGTTTTCTGTTTTTTTTCCCCTCAGAAGTCTACAGAGTTCATGAGGAGATCTTTAAGTTGCAGCGTTGGCTGAAACACAATGCCCACCTCCATCATTTGCTCTGGAAAGTTGTAAGTTGCTCATGTCTATAAAGACGAAGCATGGCTCATGGAATTCCTTCACAAGGCAAAGTTACCATTTCAGTGGATGAATACAGTTCAAATCCAACCCAGGCGTTCACACATTACAATATTAACCAGAGCAGGTTCCAGCCTCCACATGTACACATGTAAGTACAGTACTATTAATGTAGCACGTTGACTTTTGCATCTTGTATAGCTAGGTTGCCATTAGATCTAGCCATCCAACTGTTAGATCCAAAGATGGAAGGACATAGATTTCATCTGTCGTGAATACACATAATTATGCCATTATATACATGTGGGAGTAAGATCACCTTTTAAAAAATTACATTGGATATTTTATGAAAGGCATTTACATGTATAGGTTTCTAGTTGCTACGTGTTGTCAAGTATATCCAAATTAGGATAACCCTAATATGGCTTTCAAAGTATATTCTTAAAATGTGCTTTGATAGCCTTCATTGCCATAGAGTTTCCATGGCCAAGCAGGGATTTTATGAATACTAGGTCCTCTGTCTGTCCACTGCCCTATACTAGCTCTAGTGTCAGTAGTGAAACATAGGCCACTAGTAAAAAAATAGGGCCAGCTTTTTTCAGAGTGTTAATACAATGACTTAGCAATCATGAGAGTACAAAAAGCTTTAGAATGAGGTTTCAAAAATTTTAAATCATTCACCTTCATTATGATACTGTTTTCAACATTGTTTTTTTTTAAAAAAAACCTTTCCATTTAACTAATTAGAAACCATAGGCTAAGTGACTTCTACCTAGACATTGTTATTGTCCATCCTTGTATAGATGGTAGACTAGGAACTATTAGAATTACAATCCCATGCTGTAAATTAGATAGCAAAATTGTACAATTTTTTTGGCATGGTTTATTAGACAAATTAGCATTCAAAGAACTCTAGTCATGAGAGGCTTGGTAAACCTCAGCACAATTTTGTATGTGAACTGGAGGCCTCATAACAGACTTGTAGCTTTATTGATTTTGCAGGAACTTGCCAGAGGGACATATTTCTTGAAAATGTGAGCACCCTTCCCCCACCCTTTGCACTCAGCTGCGAAATAGGCCTAATTGGGACTAATTGTCTCCTGATCACTGAATCCTTTGTCCTCCTTGTTGTAAGGGGAACGTGCGCCACATGCTGCATTCCTCTTACAATAAGGAAGACAAAGGATTTTTCAAGACTGCTGAACTATTAGTCCCAAGAAATACAAATACTGCATTAAAATGATGTTTATGGCCAGAACATAAACCAACAAAAGCAGAGCAAAAGGTCCCTTACACAGCCTGCTATGTTTGATTATTGTGGTTTTTGAGATCATGCTGACATATATAAAGTACACACAGAGATTTTAAGAATTAAGTGGAGTCTTAAATTCCACATATCCTTCCTATTGTTAATCAGCTGAGGTTTTAACAGCTATTTGATCTTTATCAACAGTTTTTAGTTAAACTCTGCCCTCTCAATGATCTTAGGGATAAGTTAAATGATAAAACTAAAGGAGCAACTCTTGACCTCACATTGACCCAAAGCAAATGGGGGGGGGGAGTCTTCTGTTCATGGGCTGATTATAGTTGTTGCATAGTGCAAATTCTAAAGTGTTGTGCTATAGTGAGTTCAAGATGCAGATTTCCTCTTCCCACTGGACCAGTTTCTTTTGCATTGAAGTGATGTGCCAGCCTTCTGATTATACAGAGATTTTTTATGAAATACAATGGGAAGGTGTCTTAGTTTTAGCTGTATAGAGGGGAAGAAAAGTACATTGCTAATAAAGCATAAAGTATATGTTGTTGGGAAATATAGTTGAGAGAATAAAGCACAGCACAATTTCTGTCTTGTCCTTTCACATGACTGAATAAAATGATGAAATAGTGAGGAAAGAATTTCAAGCTGTTGCTATCACAAAAAACAACTTTTAGCTATTGCATATGAACAGAAGTGTGTATACTTGGGTAGCCCAGTTCAACATCTTCTGTAATAGCTTTATATTTTAGAGATTGTGTTGTTTTCCAGCACTCTGGATTAGAAAAGATAAAATTTTAAGAACCTAACTGTAGTACTCTGGTGGGTGTGGGTCCTTCTCCATCCTGCAGTGCTCTCTCTCTCTCCCTCCCTCCCCCCCCCTTTAACAAAGCTGCTGCTTCAGTGCGGTGGAAAACTCTGGAGCAGTTCCTTGGCTCTGCAGAGTGCTACATAATTGTGGGGATGGAAATTCTACCTCCCTTGCAAGTATCACATTGGGTTTAGGGCTCTTTGTCCTGGAATTGACAGAATAATTTTGTTGCATGTGTAAGTGCAACATTTTGAGTGTTTAAATTGGGCTAATTTTTTTAAAAAATATTATTGTTTACAGATTAATAGGTTTTATTCAGCACAGGCTTTTTGTAAACTTCCAGTTACTTCTTCAAATGTCCCAAAATTTTAGAGGAGAGATTAGCTGCTGCTTCAAGATAAATAGTGGCATATTAATGTATATGCCATTGTAGGCGATGAAACTTAGTACATATTGCACAGCTTAGTCCACTTTTGTCCTGTGAATTCCAGGACTCTCTGTTATGGAGTGCACAGCTTGAAATCAGTGTCAATGTGTCAGAAATGGGCATTGTGCTTCTTGACATTCAGGAAAGTGCACCAGCATTGAATTTCAACACCATTGTGGTACATTGGCTGTGGTTTGCAGTAAGTGGCCTCAGCCCAGAGATGCTTGTGAGGTGTTTGCATTTGTGTTGCAGTGATGCTTTTTCGCTGACTTTCATGCAAGTGTGTGTAACAGAGCCATGATAGATACATTTGGGAAACAAAAGTGGTTTCAGGAGGGTAGCAATTTAAGGTAAGAAGGCAAGGGGGTGGTACAGCTATGCTTTTCCTGTTATAACTGCCTCCACCTCTCTCTCTCTCTCCCTCCCTCCCTGCCTCCCCACCATGTTTGCTGGTTAAAAAGTTATATACTGTACATACTTACCAGTTCTTGCTTCAAAATCACTTCCCTTCAAAATGTTGGGAGAAGCAGCCAGGCCGTTATTAAACATGTCAGAAAATACAGTATACTGTAGGTTGTCCTGCAGTTCTAGCTCACATTTTAAGATGCTTTCTTAATCCTTTGAATGTCATTAAAGTGTGGTACTTGATCAAGAGGAATCTCCAAAGCCTGTTGTACTCACATTGCAGAGCCTTTGGAATTAGTTTTCCAGTTTCTTAGCCATTACCTTCCTTTTCAGATCTTTGAGGTATGTCTCCGTTTGCTTTGTCAAATCAATAAACACACAAATTATATTAATTTTGAACGTTTGCTTAATTTATACAATTTTTCCCCCCTAGGAAAATGTATTGCCTTTTTTCTTCTTGAGATTTCTCTTATAATACAGAATGTAATTAAGAGTATATTTGGGTTCTGTAAGAAGCTTCTTTTTCAATGTATTTTGTACGTAAATTGTCCTAGTTCTGTTGATTGAAAAATATAGGAAGAGATCTTAAAAATGTAGAATAAAATACAATGTTATAAAAAGTCTAGTAGACATTGACTTTATTGTAGTAACAATCTAGTAGACTTGTTAATGTTTTTAACAAGGCTGCCAGGTTATTGCTCCTACAAAAATCATTACATTAGTTTCACATATATTTGCCTTTTTAAAATTATATGAGCCACTTTCCATCCCTTTGTTAGTGGGAGGATGGAGTATAGACAGAATGAATAAGAATAATAATTTTGGATTTGAATAGGGAATCAAGATTCAGATTCTTACATCCACAAGGTTCTTACATAGACTTGCACAGCGTGTGACCTATAAAACAAAATGCCTGGGTATTAGTGGTCTCGTATAATCTGTGTCCTATCAACATGCAACCCACTAGTTGTATTATGGCAGGCCCTCTGTAGTTTAAACATCTAGATGTTGTTGGGCTACAGGTCCGATCACTTCCATTGTTGGGTTGGGCTGATGGGAATTATATCTGAAGAGCTGGACGTTCCCTACCTCAGTACGTCCCTGCCCCCTGTTTCTGTTGGGGCTGCAAACTGAAGTGTTATCAAGTACCTAGCAAGTCACAGTATATGTCCAGTGAATTGCATTTAGCTGGCTGCATCAGTTATTCTCCTTTACCCTGACTTATTTCATGTGGAGATAAAGTGAGATAAGCTAACCCCTGGGGTACCCTGAGAAAGCATGATATAAAATAATAAGGAATGAGCACAAGATATTTTTATCTGGATGAGAAATTTGTTTTGTATATGCTGTAGGATAAAATGTAATAATAGAAACTGCTGGTTAGATACTGTACATCGACTTAAAATCCTCCTAACCCACTCTGGAAAACACTGAGATTGTTTTTGGGTAAAGAAGAGAGAACAAACTCCAGCTTTAATTAATAGTACTTTCATCCACCTGATGTGTCTACAATAGCATACATGCGTATTCTAAGAGAGTTTACTTTGTCTAGCAACATCATGAGAGCCTGTATGTTAGAAGGGATAGAATGTTAGACTAGGGCCCAGGAGACCCTGGTACAAATTCCTGCTTGGCTATGGGAACTCACTGGGTTGTGTGTAGCAGAGGCAAACTACTCCTGGAACATCTCATGAACATCAGCAATTCATTTAGGATTGCCATAACTTGAAGGCAGCTTGAGAGCACATGATGACTGGAAGACTGTACATTTCTTTCATTTGTTCTAAAAATGCTCACCACTTTGTTCAGTTTTTAAATGTTTTTTTTTAAATGGAGTATTTAGAGAAGATGATACAAGACATAAACAGAATATTAACAATTAAGTTACATCAGTGGTGTATGAGCTGTTAGATGTTTTTACTGCTTTGCTTTCTTCCTTCTCAGGAAGGCCTTAGAGCTCACGTCTCTAAGGCCTTCCTGACTTGAATAGATACTGCTTTCTGCACAGGTGAGAGTTGGGAACTGACATGAAAAGAGTCCTTGCAAATCACTGGTCTCTCATAGCCGAGTTTAAGTAGTGTGTTGTGTTTTGTTCTGAGAAACAGCAGTGCTAGCAGTTCAGCTGAACTGTTATTGAATCCCTTTGACTTCATTGTGACTAGGGCTTCTTGGTGGTCTTTTTGGAGTGCACAAGTTGTCTGTTGAGTGGATGCAGGATCTCTATGCTTAATGTTTTCCAGCAGCTTTGTACCA